CATACACCCCTGCCTTACCATCTGACCAGTACCGCTTACCATCTGACCAGTACCACCCATCATCCCCGCTCCCCACCGCCTAGCAGCCCCCTCATGCCAGCCCCACCAGCCACATCATGCATCAGTGACACTGCTCATTACTAAAGCCTGCTGGTCACAATAAAACAGACATTAGTTACTCTGATGGCCCCACCCTGGGCCATTCTGTCTCCATCACCATGGTTCACGATGGTTCTCTTGCCTTCAACTCCCCATTTGCACCATCCTAGACACCCCGATGATGACCCCCAATGTTGAAACATTGTTGCCACAAGTTTACAAGAATACAAAGTTAAATGAAACTGGAAAATAGAAAATGAAATTTTCATCATCATAAAATCTGAGGTCTGCCAGCCATGGTGGTGAACGCCTGTAATCCCAGTGGCTCAGGAGGCTGAGACAGGAGGATGGCAAGTTCAAAGACAGCCTGAGCAATGACAAGGCCTTAAGCAACTGAGACCCCATCTCTAAAATACAAAATAGGGCTGGGGATGTGGCTCAGTGATTGAGTGTCCAAATTCAATCCCCAGTAGCCCCCCAAAAAAATTGGGGGTCTGCAGAAAGTTTATATGAAGTGGAAAGCTATTTTCTACCAATTCCAAGATGGTTTAGAAAAAGTCCTAGGTATTTTAAAAGGCATTACAGGGTTACAACAGATTTCTTATGTTTAAGTTCATTTCAAAAATATAGGACTTGGGCTGGGGCTGGGGCTTGGGCTGGGGCTTAGCGGTAGAGTGCTCGCCTTGCACATGTGAGACCTTGGGTTCGATCCTCAGCACCACATAAAGATAATAAGTGAAATAAAGGTGTTGTGTCCAACTAAGAAATAAATACTTTAAAAAATGTATAGGACTTTCTTTTGCTTCAATTTCAACCTATCAAACTACTTGTCTATTTACCCACTGAAATTAAGGTCATACTTTGTTCCCACAAGACAAAGGCTTTTAAAATAGAAGGGGAGGGGAGGGAGAGTTTAAAAGACTTGGATAATATCAGCCACCATTTATTACCTACATAGTTAAAAATTATGTAAGGCAGCGAGACTCCCTAGGCCACCTCGATGACGCACGCCGAGCGCTGCAACACCATCTGCACCAAGGAGACGCCAGTGGGGAGACTAAGTGTGTGGCAGGCTCCTGGCCCACTGCTGGAACCACTACGTGGGACAGCCGAGTTGTCACTCAGCATTTCCCTGGGTGCTAGAGAAGGGTGCCCCGGAGGTGGAGAGGCAGCAACGGGCAGAGTGACTTACAGCTAAGAGGGCACCCTCTCCAGTTTCCACAGCCCTGAAAGCAACTGAAATACCCTCCCTGAAATGTTCAGGATTGAGGGCAAGACACTGAAACCACCGCATTGTCCTCGGCCTCTTCCTGTCCACCAGATGGCAGGGCAGCTATGTGCAGAGACAGCAGGTCTTCCCACCTCCCCATACCCTTCCAAGATGTCCACTCTGTCTTTATTGGAGCTGGTCTCTATGGAAGTAATTCAAGTTAAATGAGGTCACAAGGGTAGGATCCTGATCCCATGGGACTGGCATCCTTGTAAGAAGGGAGAGAGGGGTACACACACAAAATTGCAGAGGAAAGGCCAAGTACGTGGACACAGGGAGATGGAGGCTGTCTGCAAGCCAAGCAGGAAGTCCTTGCCAGAAACCAGCTCTGCTGACACTGATCTTGGCGTTCCAGCCTCCAGAACTATGAGAAAATCATCTTCTATTATTGAAGCACAGTCTGAGGTCCTTTGTTAGCAGCCCAAGCTGGCCAACAGTCAAAGTGTGTAGCTCCACCCTTCTGCTTTCCTCAGATGACACAGCAGGCAGGGACAGGATGGGGGATCCCAAATCAAAACCACCTCCAGGGGCTGGGGTTGTGACTCAGCAGTACAGCGCTCTCCTAGCACATGCAAGGCCCTGGGTTCAATCCTCAGCACCACATATAAAGATATTGTGTCCAAGTAAAAAATAAAAATTAAAAAAAAAAAAAAAAAAACAAAAAAAAAAACCACCCTCCACTCCAAATTTCCAAGAATCAAGAGCCCTCACCTGGGCTGACAAGCACACATCATGGACAACAGTGCCACTGTCTGGTGACTTCCTGAATGTCCAGCTGCCACAGAAAACAGAACTCCACCCGGCCAACCTCTTGGTGGTCATCACAGGCCACACTAGAAACAAGCGTCTGGGGTCACAAGTGGATATGCCAACATTTTCTTCAGACATTTAACTCGTAAATTCTGGAAATGTCTCTACCTGCCCAAGATTATAATAAAATAGGTTTAGTTTCTAGAAAATGATATGAATAAAATCAAGAGAATTTACATCCCTGCCGCGGGCCTCGCTGGAGTGTTCAGAGGAACAGCCTGAGTGAAGATGCACAAGCTGGGCTGGTGGCACCTCACTCAGGTGCAGCTGAGGTGGCCCCGGGACCTACCTTAGCCACAAGAGCAGCCAACGGGGAACCCTGCTTCCCTGAGAGCAGGACTTCCCAGGAGCCACAGTCCCTTTAGAAAATGTGTATAAAGCCAGGTGCAGTGGCACACGCCTGTATCCCATCAGGACAGGTAGTGGTGCCAGTGGCAGGCATGGCACTAAGCTAAGCAGGCCCTGGACCCCCCGTGTCCTTGTCCACCTTTTTACAACTTCTAGGAAACGTGCAAGTCCGGCACCAGGCATCGCCCACACCCTCCTGGTGCTCCCTTGGCCGCCTGTCCCCCTTTTCTGGCATAAAAAAGTGTATCACAGGGCTGGGGATATGGCTCAGTTGGCCGAGTGTTTGCCTCGCATGCCCAAGGCCCTGGGTTCAATCCCCAGCACACACACACACAAAAAAAAGTATCTCACTACTGTTGTGTTTTCGCCAAGATCTCAGTCTTTCCTTCTTGCCTTCGTACAGGCCTCAGAGATAACTCCAGGAATATCACCAACAGCAGGACCTTTCCAAAACTCCCTCACCCAAGCTTCACCATGTCCCTCAATCAAGTTCAGGCGCCATCGCCGGCACCAAGGCTGTGGCTTTCCAGTGGCTCTTGACTGGCTGCCTGGTGGCAGGACCTGGATGTCTGCCTCAACTCCCGTCTCTTCTAGTGGGTCCCTTTCCCCAAGCAGCAGCTCCAACAGGGCCAGCCCCCAGACAGGGTCCAGACTGGCTTTCTTGCTCTGTTCATCCACCGCTCGTCTCTGGTAGCTGCATGAAGACCAAGACACGTGCCCCTCGTGGAGGTGCCACAGGCCCAAGCAGAAAAAGAAGCCGGAGCCTCCACCTCCATCAACAGTGGGAGAGGGCCTCCATTAGAACCCAGGCAGCAACAGCCAGACTCACTCCAGGACCCCATTTCCCTCTACTTCTGTTCAGTTACCCACTATGGAAGTCAGCTGCTAGTGTCATTACTGCATACCTAGAGCTGCTAAGGGTTCCCTTCTGAATAAAAACATTCAAGTTATATTTCGTTTTGTTTTGGGGGGAGGGTGGCTTTTGGGGGGGATACCATTAAAAAAAAAAAAAAACACAACCATGGGGTAGTACAGAGGTAAATAAATGGCTATAATCTCAAAAACAGGAACCTGCATGCTCACCTACTCCACATGGCCTCTGTACTTGGGGATCCAGAAATACCTGCTCAGCTGAATTCAAGCCTGAGGATGAGGCATACATTCCCACAGCAACCTCAGAGCACCTACCCACTTCCCGTTTCTTGAAACTGAACCCTTGAAACTGAACACTGGGTGCCTCTGAAACTCCATCCTCCTTCCCTAGAGGGAGACTCATGGGGGAGAGCAGGTTTCCTCCTTTGCAGCCAGGGGAGCTCAAGGGACTACGGTTGGCCCAAGACATGAATGTGATTCTGTGCGCATCTTCTGGAGTGGGTCCCCACAGCTGGGGGGCTTCTGCTGTCATGTACCATGGGGCCTATTCCATGGTCTAGGGTAGCCCATGGGCTTCCTTGCAGAGAACAAACAATGTTTAAAAACTCACTAAACAAAAAACTACAAAGGAACTGCTTAAGTTGAAAGAGAATGACCCACATGTACAACATTCAAGTGACAGTCATATGCATGTTCCCACGTTATCACATTGAGGAACTACCGCATTTCAAAGTAAAAGTGAACCAAGATGTCATCATGCCCTAGTTGTTAAAAGGTGCCTATGACTTCGATCGGCGACCAAGGCACTCACTCTGCCACTGCAGCTACAGTTCCTAAGGCCTGCCACTACTTTCATAATTGAAGGAAATGCTAAATTTCAGTCGGATGCTGATTAACCAAAAAAAGCTATAATTTGTATGGGATCCAAGTTTGTTTCCACATATAGAATTTAGGGTCCAAAGAAAGCCTCTCCTTTCCCCCTCCTCCTTTCTACTTCCTGGGATGAGAATGAGATGGCTGGAGCTAAAACAGCTCCTTTTGACCTATAAGGCAAGACAGGAGAGCCCTGGTTTCTAATGACCATGGAGCCATGCACCAGTCCCAGCCTGGCTGCCTCAGATTGGCATCTCTAACTTGTCAGCCATGTTGATTTATTTGTGTTATATAAAGCCAGTCAAACCCACTCTTGCTCTCTAATGCTTTCTCTGCTTAAGATAGTAAAGATGGAGACAGTTTAAGTCTGATCATTAGCAACATTTCTCCCTGTTTGGGGAGGCTGCATCTTCCTCACTGATAAACCTGACTCCTCTGGAGCACAAAAAGGAGCCTAGACTTCTCCTCTGCTGCTGATCACCTGACAGGAAGCAAACCCTGAAACTGAGCCACAGAAGTTTCCCATCCACCTCAGTGCCACTCCACCCAAGGCATGTTCCAAGAGGATGCACACACCCCAGCCTCACAGGTTACCCAGGGGTCCAAAGCCTGCAACCATGCACCACACCTCAAGTTCACAGCCAGCCACATCCTCAGTCATGTAGGAGTAAGTGCACAGACCCACAGCCAGGCCAGTACGGGTGGTGGCAGCGGGAGGAGTACTTACTAATCGTCATGGATTCTGGCACCGATGCAGAAGGCAAGAGGCTGCTCAGAGGACTTCCTTGGGCTGGAGGGCTAGCGTCCACACTGGGAAAAAGAGGGAGAAGGAAGTTACACTCAGCCACTTAAAATGCCCAACCTCCCCGCTCAAAACACGAGCAGGTGGTCACTTATTGGGGTTCTCTAGCGGAAGGGACAGAAGGCAGCCATCAGAAATCAGTTGATCCTGTTATTTGCAGACTCCATATTTGTCAACTAGTCTACTCATGAAGTGTATTTGTAGCCCCAAAAATCAATACTCACAGAATACTTTCACAAGTCGCTCATGAGCAAAACAATGGAGTCCCCAGCTGAGGACAAGCAAGGTGCCTTCTCATTTCAACTCTCCCAACTGTAGACAAGTGTCCTTTCCATAGTCTCCTTAGTCCTAGATTTTCCACATTTAAGTAGGGCTTCTGGGAGATTTTCTGTTTATAGGGGTCCCCAAGTACATGGCTGCCTCATGAGTTTACAGCAAGAGGCTGCCACGCGCCTCAGGGGGCAACGTGCGAGAGCGCTCCATCCAGGCAGGAGCCATCTGCCACTGACCACGAGCTCAGTGTGACAGTCAACACCAGACACTCAACAAGCCGTCTTTAAACAGGCAGAGGCAAAGCCAGACATACTGACCAACCAAGAAAAATGTCGTGACAAAGTCTCAGATAACCAACCCAGCACCTCCCCGCCAAGCAACAGCGGAATGTTCACAGAAACTCCACAAAACAGAATCCCTGCAAATAATGAGGGCCAGCTCTTTGTAATGATTTTGCAATGTGAAAAAATAATTTGACCACCTTTTGTGAAAATAGCAGGGCCACATGTAGTGCTTATACACACACCTGCGCACACATGCTCACACACGCGCACACACTCAGAGGGAAAGCACCAAAGCATCAACCACACCATGGAGTTGGGTTAAAGAGTCATTTTTCATTCATTGGAGCATTCTGCAAATTTTCTAAAAATAAACAGGATAAAGAACTGAGCCCTGGAAGGGTCTGTGACGCCATCCTTTTACCTGGCACCCCATGTACTAGCCTGCTCCAGGTAGTGTCACTTTTGGAATCCCGCCTATTCTGGGTTTGACAGGGGCACCATGTCTGGTTTGGGGGCAGCAGACAAGAAGCCCACCCTGAAGACAGGGTTGGAAATGCACGTGGATACGTCCCTGAGACACCAAACTAAAATCACAGGAAAAAAAAGTAGTGAAAGTAAGAGCAGCAAGGACAGTGGGCACATTGGGAAACCTTGCCGTCTACCTCTACTGTCACCAAACAGCCAATGACCTGGCAACTCAGTTCTCCCTTGAGATTCTTCAATTTGAGAAGGGAAAAAAAAAAAAAAAAAACCCTTTTGCTCTGTAGGTGATGTACTTAAATATTACATGGCATCAAAGGGACTTAAATATAATACTAGGACAGTTAAATATTACCAAGTATTAGTATTTAGATTAAGAAAATGATAGGAAGTACTTTAAGAAAATGACAGGAAGTACTCAGATATAGCTCAAAAAGCATAAGGACAGGAGGTATGCAAATAAAGTTTGACCACTGTGCAGTCTCCTGCAGTAACTCCGTGGGGACAGATGATCTAAGCCTCTTGGCAAGGGCACACTGTGAGATGTAAGACTACCCCTGAGCAGAAGTGTGAAGTAAGACCTTGCATATAACCCTAGCAGGTTCCTCCTAGCTTTAAAAAAGAATAAAATGCCAGCCAGGCACAGTGGCACATGCCTGTGATCCCAGCCACTAGGGAGGCTGAGGCAGGTTGATCCCAAGTTCGAGGCCAGCCTCAGCAACTTGACAAGACCCCATCTCAAATATAATAAGAACAGGGATATAGCCCAGAGGTAGAGCGCCCCTGGATTCAGCCCCTGGTACTATAAAAAAGAATAAAATGCCAAATTGTGAATAATACATTAATACACAAGGCAACCTAGTTTCTTAATATTAACCTGTACCGAAGCCCAGGCTCTGGGGGAATGTGGTCCTCAGGTCCTGTTCCGTTCTCCAGGCTTCCCAGGGGGGGATCTGGGTAAAGACATCACAGAGAGGAGATAAGGTGTTTATTCCAATTCCCTCTTCTTGTCATTCCTTCATCTGCTACGTAAGCTGACTTACAAGTTCTTACTCACCCGCACATTGGATCTTAATCTGCTACCACTCCATTTTCCCAGGCATTTTTATGACTTGGCATCAGCTGCTGATGGAAGACCCTATCTCCCACTTAACCTGTGACTTTTGATCTTAAGGCAAGTGGAATTGCCCATGAAGTCTGTATTCAGGGCCAACCCCAGAATCAGAGTAATTTTTTTAAAAAAGCTTTCTATAGGACAAACCTTCTCCTGCCTGTCAGGACTTGAGACAGACAGCAGAGGGCAGCAAAGTCTAATCACCAACAACCTGGCTTTCTCCAAAAGCCACTTAACCCTGCGTACATAGCATTCAGAAGCACATTCCCAAAGGAGTGAGATGATAAATATCTCATGTTACCGATTTTCATAAATGCATGAGTGCCCGCACAAGCCTCTTTGCAGGAAAGGGTAAAAACCCACAAGCCCCAGGCTGGATGGTGACATTAAGATCCATATCACCCAAGGGAACCCTTGCTCATAGAGCAACTCCTCATTGTCAACGCCCATCATGAAACTAGCCCTGCACCCGAGGGGGACCAAAAGAGCAACACAGCCTCCTCTGCACCATCACGTCTGCTTAGCCTGGTCTGCTGGAGTCAGACTTCCCGTGACTTACAGGTAAACTCACCTTGCCCCATTTTAGGTCACAGGCATGCCCAGCCCTCCACCTGCTCAAGGTCCCATGATGAGACCCTGGGCTGGTCTCCCCTCTCTGAATTGCCCCTAACCCAGAACAGGTAGTCCCCTCCACCGCAGAGCTGCCTCCTGCAAGATTCACAAGGGTACTCATAGCATGTTCCCTCCTCCCTCAAAAACACCCGCTCTGGGCCAGGCCCAGCTTCCTTTTTGCCCCCCCCCTCCCCCTTTCTCTAATTACTCCCAATGTAGTGACTACAAAGGCGGCAACATTTTCAAAGAGGACTGAAAAATCCCTTGAGGCAAGAAGCTGTCCGCGTGGGAAGTCATAGTAAAGGGCAGAATGGCCCCTCAGCCAGAATTAGGGAGAATGCATTAATGTCACTATCAACCTGAGGGACACTAGTCAGACATGGGGCAAAAGTGGAGTCTCAGAAAAATGTTAGCAGAGCCTTCCCAAAGAGCCTACCCTGGCAGGCCAAGCTTGAGACCACTTGGCCCAGGTGCCTCCCATGGACACAGACACCAGGCAGAGGGACTAACGCAACTTAGCAGCAGGTAACCAGTCCCCAGCCCTGATCCAGCACCTTCAGCCACCATGGGTCTTCCCTACAATGCTCCCCTGCCCACAGGCTGTCACGGCCTACAAGGCTCCTATGGTTTTGTGACTACAGCACCTTTAAACACTGGTATACTGGCTCCTACAAGTCACCTCTGGTGAGTACCATCAAGGTAAGCTGGAACTTGGGGTCTCCTCAAGAGTAACAAGTGGAGCCTCTGGGTCTGCCAGGCTGACAGCCACGAGACCACAGGAGATGTGCTGGGGGGCAATGGGGACCTTCTCTCGAGGATCCTGGAGGCCCTTATCCATGGAAAGCCTAGAATGCTGGGCTTTGGAAGATCAGATCCCAAATTACGGGAAGACTCCAGTCACAGCTCCCTAATGCCAAACTGCAAGGCCCCAAAGCACCAGCCATCAGCTTCCCTGTCTCACAGGCTCGAGGGGCAGAGCCTGCTGCCCCGGGTGCCCACAGCCAGCCAGCATTTAACAGCAGGTAACGAGGACTGAGCGGGGATCAGAAGCTGAGGAGCTCCATGTCGGAGGCTATGTGCAAACATCAGAACTCTCCCATGGCCCTGGATACCCTTGGGCCCCCCTCGAGCTTCCAAGCCCCCACCCCTGTCTCACATAGTCCAGCAATGACAAGGCGACCCCCTCAGCCACCTGGACAGGGGAGCTGAAGAGGCAGGGCTTCTGGGGTCTGGCCTGCGGACACGAGCCAGGCCCACCACACCGGCCCTCTCTGGGATTTCAGCTGAGACCCGGCGAGATGTCCCCACTGGTATCAAAGGTCACAAGGCTGAGCAATGTTGTTGGCACCTCAGCCAAGTTCAAGTAGAAAGGGGAGGAGTGAGAATGAAGAGGGCAATGACAGACCGGGGTGGGGGCAGCACGGGAAGCAGGATGACCCCAACGGTTGTGCCTCCCCCCATCTAGAGTCCCCTCCATCAGCCCTGCTCCCAGCTGTGGACACACTCAGCTGCCCCGTCTTAGCACTGCCTCCTCAGCCTGTCTTTCCCCAGGTGAACCTGGGAGTCTTCGCCACACGTCTGAGGGAGGGAATGGTGCAGTGAACCCCCCAGCTGAGCAGGACAACCTCTCCCCAGCACTGGACTCACTGCTAGAGCCTGGAGGGCACTGTTATCACTACCGGCATCCACTTTCCAGGCAGGTCACCCAGACTGACAGACGGGAAGTCCACTCTGCTGCCTGCAGAGCCCATCTGTCTGGCCTTCAGCTAGTGTAGGTAGATTTCTGTCCTTCACCAAGTGACAAGAATAATCCTTCACCCAGTTCAAATTTCAACAGCTTCCTAAGCAGTTGGAAGACTCCAGTCACAGCTCCCTAACACTAGGCCCAGAGAAGCGTGTGTTCCCTAGAAAATGGCAGAGCACCTGTCTGTCGGGCTAAGGCCTCTCTGAGCTCGCAGTGCTGGGGGAGGAGAGTGACATGACCAGGCACTTCTCTCCACAGGTTCTGTGCACTGCATGGCGCACCTGTCCTGCTGGGAGAGCCAGGTTCACCCACACATAACCCCCAGAGTCCCATGGCCTGTTCAGCTACAGGAAACAGTAAGACTACACGTGAGCCCGCCCACCACATGGAATGTGCAAGGACACTGGCCCATAGTCAAAGGCCAGTTCAAGCAACCCGCCCCAGAGCCCCAAGAGCTTTCTGTCCAGGGCACCAGTGACTTGACAGATAGCCCCCTCCACCACCGAACTGCCTCTTGCCAGATTCAGAAGGAAACCGAGGTCTTAAAAGGCAAAATGGCAATCACTCTTTATGTTTACTTTGACATGACCAAGTTCAATAAGCCACTGGTGTTGGGGAAAAAAGTAAAACAGACCTGGGGGCTCCTGGGGGATTGCCAGCCAGGTCAGCCCAACTCACTCAGATGCTCAAATTTCTAGAACACTAAGGCCCTGTAGCTTCTGAGTCCCCCACAAGCCCCTCCTTGCTCTGGGCCCCAGGTTCCCATTCCTACCTGTACAGGTAACTCAGATTCTCATGCTGGTTCTCAGAACTGATGCTCTCATTGGGAAGAAAAAAAAAAAAAGAGGAAGCACCTACCTGCCGGGCTGTAGGAGCCCACACCGCTGACCGGGAAGAGGACATCAGCATCGCCGTGGAGCACCTGCAGCGGAGCCCAGCTGTGCACCTGGGAGAGGCAGGTGTTCCCATCCAGGGGCCTAAGGTGAAAGAAGACAGCTGCATGACAAGGCCCAGACCCCCAAAGGGCCTGTGACCACCAGGCACATCTGCTGAGCCTCCTCAAGGGCTCTTGGGAAACACCCAGGCCAGGATGGGGCTGATGGGCAGGAGTCTGGAACATCAAGTGGGGATCCAGACCCTGACAGGTGCAAGGACATCAGTCACATATCCTTTGGGAAGATGTCAAACAGCAGTTCAGAATCATGTCGCTGATCAGGAAGATCATGGAAGACTGGCCTGAAGGGGGAGTTGTGAGGAGCAAGTTGAAGGAAGCAAGGACCTGAGGGAAGGGACACGTGGAAGGGGAGGCACCAGCCACACAAAGGGCTGAGCAAGAGAAAATGCCACCATCTGGGTTCTCAAACAACGGTGGTTACACAACTCTGAGCTAATGTCGCTTTGCCTCGCTGGTTCTCAGACCCCATGGGTCAAAGGACAATCAGACCCACTTGTGACTGGGTTTTCAATAAAAGGAGGTCAGCTAAAGTATTAACCAGGCTCATATGATGTTACTCTGTTATCTGCCAAGTTCAAAACCAACACACACATCCTTCGTAACACCAGGATGACTCCAAGCTGCCTGAGCATTCGCCCACTGCAGCTTTGCCTCTGGACAATCAGGAACATTAGTAAATACCAGGATGTGTTCATGCAGTTCCTAGATGTTTATAAAATTCTTTTGTATCTCAGTAAATAAAGAAGACCAAAGTTGATAACCATACCTACTTAGTAAAAGAAGGGACGGGTGTGGGAGAGAAAAGAAAAAGAAAACTCCAACTATTTGACTTTTTTTTTTTTGTCCAAGGTCAACAGCCACATATGACAGAACCAAGGCTTTGGGTTTTCCAAATCCAATTACAATGTCGCTCCAGCCTCTGTCCACCACGTGACATTACAGAGTTTTTATTTTAGAGAAGAGATTGACTAAGTTTAGGACCAGCTAGTGAATATTTCAGGTTCCGTGGCCTACTTGTCTGTGTTGGTATTTCTTCATAACTGTCCCTAGCTAGGGCAGGCGGGCTGGCCGGCCCCTCCTACAGGCTGGTCAGACACCGTCTCCTTCCGGCTGCTCTAGCTTCTGGTCAGGTCAGACGTTCAGACACTGAGGAGGAAACTGAGGAACTATTTCTAACAATTTCGCAAAACTTGTCACTGAATCCCACGGGTAAGGTGATGACACTCAGGCAGGGGGAGGCAAAGGAAGGGCTACTCCTGCCCATGTCCTGGCAGCTGACCCCGACTCTGACCAAGACTCAGGTGAACTTGGTTGTGCCTCTAGAATCTGTCAGAGCCATGCTTCTGAGGCTCTGGTCTAGAAGCCGGTGGCCCAGGGGATGGACAGCTGTGGCAGTGCCAGTGCACCCTTCTCAGCAGAGGGCAGCAAAGGCCACAGTCCGTTATCAAGCAATCCACCAGCTCTGTACCGGGGGTATTCTGCTCGTTTCCAACACAGTTCTTACCACTTCCAGCAACGTGTGTGTGCACGAGGTAAAGCCAGAACCCTCCAGACGAGAATCTGAACCCAAGGAAAAGCAGCCCCAAGGGCCACCACTTCAATATGAGCAAAATGAGTTAAAGTGATTCCCAAGTCGGGGAAAGCCTCAGGACGTGGCTTCAAGATTGGCTCAACAGTGGGTGTTCTTTTCCTTGGAAAAGATACTTTCAGAAGTACCCAAAATACAACTGGGCTGGACACCGTCTCTATGCGACTTACATTCACATGGCTGTAACAAAACCACATGGAGAATTTTCTGTCTTATGTTTCCATCTGATAGTAAGAAGATGAGCTCATCTTTTTACTACCAGATAATCAAACTCACTCAAAATGTTCAAGATCCCAGACATGACTATATTAACACCCAACTCCTGCACGCCCGGCTGGTAACCGCCTCAGTGGCTGCACATTTAGGTCAGCTATGGTGTTTTGCTTCCAAGTCGGGACTTTGAATCCACCTGGTGCATCCCCAGGCAGATTCCATCACTGCCAAATCAAGTAGGTCCAACACAGCTCCTGACACGGCCCAACCGTCTCCTCAGGACTGTCGACAGCCCCTGGTACCAGCTGTGCCATCATCACTGCACCAATGTGGACTGAACACCCCCTTTGCACCTGGGAAGAGGTGCACTGAGAGATTGCCTCCCCCCCATACAGGCCACAATACTGGGGCTCCCTTTCAAATCTTGGCAAATGTGATGGGCAAGACATGGGACCCTCGTTTCCCTTCGCATTTACTTCATTGCTAATAAGGTGCAACATTTATTCATGTTTAATTCCTTTGGAATCACGTTCTTACCTATTTAATGATGTCAGAGCACATAAGGTGACAGAAAAACTCCTTTGTATGATAAGGATATTATCCCTTTTGATGAAAAACACAAAGCCAATACCTGTGGCCAGTACTGAGGCAGGGGGAGAACACTGGTCATCAAGCAGTGGCTTATGACTAGCTGTCACAGGAGTCCACCCAGCTCTGGACAACAGACCTCCTCAAGACAACCAAGGGTGGTGGCACCCACCAAGCTGCTCCTGGCCTGCCACAGCCCCCTCACACACCTGCTGTGTTCCAGCCTCGTGGGCCTTTCCTATGAGCCTTAGTTTAAAATCAAAATCAAAGTATTACTTGGCAGGCCATCTCATCATTCCTCGGCTCTTCCCCAGGCTGCTCTATGGAGTGTTCAATCGAGATCCCCCTGTGTACCAGGGAGAAGCTGTCCACAGTCTGCAGGAGGCCCACTGGCTTTGGAGGACCCAGGCCCCCTTGGAGGTCACCAGCACAGCTTTGTGCTTTACACATCACAATGCCAGCAGCCACCTTGGCCTGGAGCTGGCCTCCCCTTCCAGCCTCCACTCAATGGCACCTGCAGGATAGGAAGAGGAATGGCTGATTGCAGCCAAAAGAGCACAGAGTGGATCAATTCAGGTGCACCCACCTACAGAGCCACAGAATCCAGTGGCACTTCCTAAATGGCCCAGGAGAACTCATGTAGCTGTGAGAGTTCTTGTATGTGTCCACTTGACCAGGCCACATCACCCAGATACTTAATCAAACAGTATTCCAGATGTCTCCATGAGGGTATTTTTCAAGTGAGAGTCGTATTTAAGTCAAAAGACCAAGCAGATTGTCCTGCCTAACTGGGGAACCTCACCCAACCAGTGAGACCGACTTTCCAGAGGAAGGAAGAGAGCTGCTAACAGACTGCCTTCAAGGTTGAACGCAGCTCTTCACTGAGTGGTCAGCCACCTACCAACTTCACACTGGCCAGCCTCTGTAATATAGGTTAATTTCTTAAAATAAATCAAGAAAGGGAGCGACAGCAATACAGAGTCAGATAGATAGGAAACAGAGCGGGATCAAAAGGAGGAAACACCACCCTACTAGTTGTGCTTCTCTGGAGAAGCCTGAATAATACATCGGGTCACAAGACAGCTTCCAGGCACAAAAACCATCCATAGCCTAGGAGCAAGAGCAGTGCTTCCAAACAGCTACCCTAACAAATAATTTCAGAGCAGAAATGAAAATCTCCACTTCAAAATGGCCAACCAAAAAAAAAAAAATCAATGCCAGCAGCCCAATTACACAACAGTAAAGGGAACTCTTTAGCAGGGCAGGGCAGGGATCTGAAGGACCACAGTCGAGTTGATCAGGGTTCTGCAGAGAAGGAACCAAAGTGGGGGAAATGGAGGGAATAGGCAAAGACGGAGACTTCGACTGAGGAGCTGGTTCACCGATTACGAAGGTCCAGAGCCCCACAGTCTACAAATGGAGACGTAGAAATGCTAGTGATGTCATTCAGTTCAGGTCTGAAGCCCGAGAATACGGAGGCCAATGTCCCAGCTTAAGCTGGCGGGCAGAGAAGACACAGTTCCTCCTCTCCCTTAGTTTGTTCTAGTCGGGTCCCCAAAGGATTGCAAGATGCCCACCCACTCCGGGGAGTTCCATCTGCTTTACTGAGCTGACCCATTCAAATGCTACTCATCTCATCTGGAAATGTCATCACAGAAATGTTGTTTGAGTATTCCACAGCCCAGTCAGGTAGGCCATCATGGTCAACCACCACACTGGCCAATCGAGACTCATGATTATATAAAAGCATGGAGAATATTTGATAGTATAACTTTAGGGTACAACATATCTGAACCCAAATCCCATCTGTCAAATCTCCACTCCATGGAATCCTGCTCTTTCACTTACAGAGCAGTTATGATGGCTACCGATCTCACAGGGTTGCTTTATCACTAAGGTACGTCATCCAGCACTTCACGGATGATCAACAAGCTAACACCACTAACAGTAGCATCTGTATAAGTGAGGATTGAAGCAAAAATAAAGTTTAGTCTCTTGAAAAAGAACCTAATATTAAAACATGAAACCAGGTGCATTAGCACAAACCTGTAATCCAAGCTCCTCGGAAGGCCGAAGCTACAGGACTGCAAGTTCAATGCCATCCTGCCCAATGTAAGAAAACCTCGTCTCAAAATAAAATTAAAAGGACTTGGCATGTAGTCCAGTGTTACAGCACTTGCCTAGCATCTGCAAGGGCCTGGACTTCAGCCCCAGAACCACAAGGAAAAAAAAAAAGACAGTAAGGCTCTAGCCCTGAGCTGCTGTCATACTGTGCACCCTAACACCAGGATACCTCAGTTATACAGAAAGACACAGTTATGCGTATTTAATTGCCTAGATTATGAAGCCTTCTGTGATTCCTTTGGCACTCTTCTGGGTGAAAAGGAGACAGTGTAAGAACTATTAGAGTAGAACAGCGGCAGCAGCTGACCTGTGCTATGTCACTTGCTGTGCCAGCACCAGCAACAAAGGCCCACATGCAGTACATCGCTGACTGCACAATGCCCTGCCACCAACAGGTGCTGCCATCCTCCAGGTCTCAGATGAGGCCAGAGGCTCTGGGGTGTGTGGAAATTCAAACTCGCCCAAGTACAAGATCCCAGGTGGTCCTGACTCCAATATGCACACTCATCAACTGTGCTTTCTGCTTTAGGCCTTCACCCCTTCCCCTCCTGTTGAGAGCCACAGCCGAAGGGGCCCCAGCAAACTTCCAGCTGCCAGCAAACTTCCAGCTGCCGGCTGATGATTGGCTCACAGTGGCCCCAGCAACATCTAGCTGATTGGCTCCTCTGCGGTGATGCTCATTGGGCTGTTTCCCTGCCCTTTCAGACCACGGAGCTGCTCATTGGGGGACTTTTTGGCTCCGCCCACGTGACCCAGCCAATCGGCCTCAAGAGCAGGAGGATTGTGGGAGGTGGAGAGAAGCTTGTGGGGGAGAGAGAGGCTTGTGGAAAGCGGTGGTGGCAGTTGAGGCTCTGAGGGTTTTTCCTGAGAGGCTGTTTTGTTTGGCGTGTGTGGTTCTAAAAATAAAGTTAGTTTCTTTTGACAAGTGGCTCCTGATTGTGCCCAGCCAGACTGCGGCACCCTCCCACGACCCTCTACAGAGTTGAGACTTCCAGCAGCCACACAAGCAAGCTGCTGCTGTTCACACCCCTGCAGACAAACAGGAACACAGCTGCTCTCTAGACTAGCCTGCCTCCTCCAGGGCTTCTATGATTGACAAGTGAGAGATGAAAAAAACCCAATTCATGAAAACCAAAGTCCTCTGTGCAAACCAAGAACTTCAGGGCACACTTCCTGGCATTAATTTTGTATTAAGTGCCTTCAAATATACTCCCTTCCCCTCTTAGTTCTCAGGAGAATGGCAAGCTGACATCACCACCTCCTAAATAAAGACTGAAAAATGACTAATGCCCTAACAGATAGAAAATGGACCGATTTCCTCCACTGCGGGAGAAGGAGAAATGGGCAATACACGTCCCTTTGTCGGAAGCTCAAGTGGCACTTACTTCTCTGGTGATCCCAGGTGGCCCGCACGCTTCCTTCCTGATGGGTCCCCATACGCATCGTCCTCATTGTCATCCACGCCTTCATCGTCGATGCTCTTCACATCGAGCTTCTGGTACCCAAGCTCCCCATTTAGAGAAAGGGAGTCCACTTTCCAGGAGCTGCTGCTCTGGCTGCCATTGGAATTCGGCCCAAAGGGGCTTTCAAAAGCCGACATGATGTTGACCGAGGACCGGTCGGAGTTCTCCTCCGAGCTCTCCCCTGTCCCAGGAAGCTTTTTAAAAAAATCCCCAGAGGTCTGCTCATCCTCCTCCTCATCAAACGAGATGATGTTGGTCACCTTCTTTTTCTTCTTCCGTTCCTTTTTACATCTGGCATCTGGCAAAGAAAAATACAGCAAGAAAAAGTGGGCAAGACAGAAGGGTGACAGGCCAGCTCGCCCCCGGGGCCCCAAAAGATCCCCTCAGGCTACTGAGAAGCTAACTGCACCATGTTCATTTATTTAAATCCTTGAGAAATACCCATCAATAGAAGACTGAGCAAGATGGACCCAGGCCTGTACGTCAACACACTTCAGATCATAGGTGGACACTGTCCCTTCTAGTGTCACTTGGATTCCAAGGATGCTGCCACTACGGAAATGATTTCCATTGTTTCACTGTGGGAAATACGCCCAAAAGTGGTAGGCCAGACCAGGAAAACCAGCATGGGGGTCGCAGCCAGTTGTTTCACAGCTACAACCCCCCCCCATCCCCGCACGATGCCGCTGGCCGTGCGCCATCTATAGATCCTTGAGTCTAAGCAGGCACAGTGCTCTGATGGTACCACTGGAATGTGACAGAAATAACATCCCATTCTAGGGCCCAGGTGACAAGAGGTCTCATTGCTTCTGTTTCACCCCCCCACCCCGGACTGCTGCCCCGATGGCACCCAGAGCAGCCAGCAGTCAGGCACACAGGTGGGCCACCCTGGGCCTTCCAACTCAGCCACCAGTGATATGCCATGAGCAAGCTGAGGGAAGCCAGCTGAAGCCCTGCCATGTCCATCCAGAGTCGTCAAAAAACGAGTCGTGGTGGATTTAAGCCACCACCTTTTGTCATTTGTTACACAGCAGGGCTAACTGGAGCAGCGAGCAAGACTGCCTGAGGGGTCAGAGTTAAGATGAGTCCATTTGTTCACCCATCAATCATCCAACTTGGATGTGAGACACTTTGGAGTTGTAGGCAGTGGCTCAAAGTGTGGCCTTGTGATGCTTCACCAGCCTAGCACAGCTCTGAGAATTTCCAAAGCTCCTCTGGGTGTACAAATGTGTGTCTTTGTTATACAAAGCTCTCAACGTCCTGTTTTCTACATCTGCACATGAGGCGTCTGCTGAAGGCAAGACAGTCAAATCTGTGCCGAAGAGCCGGTGGTATTCTGAGTTTTCACTATCACTGATAATTTTCAAAGATGGCCACATTTACTGCCTTAGGGATTTGGGGACACAGGGACTAGAACTTAAGCCAAAATTTTCCAGTTCTCCCGTAGCAATATCCATTGCTTCCGGGTTAAATTTTTTTTGGGGGGGTGGGGGTGTAGTACCAGAGAATGAGCCCAGAGGCATTTTATCACTGAGCCACATCCCCAGCCCTATTTATTTTTTATTGAGACAGGGTCTTGCTAAGTTGTCCAGGGCCTCACCAAGTTGCTGATGCTGGTTTCGAACTCGTGACCCTCCTGCCTCAGCCTCCCAATTCACGGGGATTACAGGCGTGCACCACCGTGCCCAGCTATTATTAACTTGTTGAAAATCAACTTCCTTTTGCCTGCCCCCACCTGGCGTTAAAGCTGACCAAATCCTCTCTTCCCCCAGGCTTCTGCTTAAACGTCCTCACAACATAGGTGAGACAAGTGGTATTCATTCTCCAGAGCATCTGTGATTGGCCTTCATCACATGTACCAAAGGGATATAGTCTTTAAATATATCCTCGTGCATCCCAAAGGGACTGCAAGCTCATCGTGGGCAAGCCATCTTAAGCTCGCTGCCTAACACACAGAACACAGTGAGTGCTTGAGTGGACGACTGAAGACCAAGCCCATGTGGCTCCTGTGGCTGCCCCACCACATTTGCTCTTCTTCCCTGTCTTCTATAGGTGAGCCTGTCAGATCCCCTTCAGAGTAAATGAAGGTAAGAAAAATAAACACGACCTGAGAGTGCAAGCGCCCTAGATTTCATTCCCCTGGGAATGACCTTCAGGTGACAAAAGGTGTCCACAGCAGACATTCTCTTGTCCTTACAAGGACCCCTGTGCACCACCTCAAATGCCCATTCTTGCTCACCAGCACTGACGGTCTTGGACACAACAGGCAACGGGTCGGTCTCCTGCTCGGGCTTAATGAGGATGGAGACAGCAGAAGAGGCTGTGATCTCCCTGAGGAGGCTGCTCACTCCCTGAGTGGATTCCTTCAGCAAGGAGGTCACGTTCTGCGTTGATTCCTTTAAGAGGTCGGAGACGGTGGGAGCAAACTTACTCTGCCCATTTAAGTCTTTGTTGTCGATGTTAATTGCGAAGAGTATGGAGTTCAGCCCTGGCCAAAAAAAGGAAAGCCTGGAGCGCCTGGGAGCATGCAGTCACCTCCAACATGAGAAACAGGAGTGACAGCGCAGTACACACAGGATTCCTATACACCGATTTCAAACATTTATAAAACTTTCTGCAAAGCTGGGTCAACAGACACCAGTTACCAGGGGAGTAAGACTTTCCAGATTTCCTCCCCAAAGGTTGAGAAGACAAATGCAAACAAGAGTCACCCAGGAGTAGGTGAGAGTGTAAGGTCTGGAGCAGACTGCCAGCACGGCTACTTACTAGCTCTGAGACCTTGGCCAAGCACCTTTTACTCCCTGGGGCTTCAGTTTCCTTACTTATATGATGGGGACAATATCATCTCCCTCACATGGTCATAAATATTAAAGATAATCACATCAAAACAACCTCAGCTCAATAAGCAATCAAGATGTGCAGCAAGAGCGTCACTGTGATTACCCTAGATCAAAATGTGCACTGGTCTCCTAAGGCCTGCAAAGGGAATGGAGTTCAAACCCAACTCTTCCTCAGACAAAACTAACACAGCCCTCAGTGTGCAAAGCTTAGTGGAAACCTTTAGGGGAATAAAAGGGAAGAAATGGGCAACTGGAAGAAAGACACAGCTGCCCACTTTTATATGGAAGATTCCATCTTTCACCCTTTGAGTAAGAGGAAAAGTGAACACCTTGGCAATCCATCAGGTGACATCAACCCAGGGCCTCCCTAATGACAAACCACATACATGACCCTGTATCGCCTGCGATTCTCTCACGGCTCTACAATGGCAACTGGGAGCTGTCAGCATTCCCACCTCATGGAGAAGTAAAAGGGACAAAGCTGACAGGATCCAGCCAGCAAAGAACAGGCTCCTCACATCACACCAGCCAAGCCATGAGCAACCCTTCAGCCCAGGCTTTCTCTTCCAGGTATCAAATTTCCAGATAATTGTGCCCAACGCTCAATGCCATTAAAGGAAGATCAGCAACAAGTGACTCCATCAGTGAGAAAATTCCCAGCATCCCCTGAGGTTGTGAATCCACCCCCAGGCAGCCCTCTCTACTCGCCGAGGTCCCCAGGACCCATCACCCCCGGCCATGGTCAGGCTTACCAGCTGCCATGGTGGGAAGCATGCTAGACCTTTCTTCATCCATCACAAAAGACCAGTCTTCATAAAAAGTGCTGTAAAGTGAAATGAGAAAAGGAAAACCTTCTTAAGAGTAGTTCTCTGCATTCACTGGCTAGATCACTCCATTAGATGACATTCTGGACAATCTGTTCCTGGTCGGTCATCATGGGGAAGGGAGGGTATCTGAGATTTCTGCTGGGTGAAGCTTCCTACTATAAGCAAAGATCTGAATGTACATAGTCTACAACTTCTCTGTCGGTCCCCCGAGACCTCAGGCTTTAGAGTACTGAAACAAACACATGTAAATATATTTATAAGGCAGCAAAGAACAAGAGCACAGAGGGGTGACTTCCACTCAAGCAGAGCTCCCAAGAGACAGACAGGAAATCCAAGCTGACCAACAGGGCTTGCCTGCTATCACTAACACAGAGGTGACAACTTCAGAAAGAAGCTACAAAATGCCATGGCTCCTTCCATCACAGCATTCACTTAGAATACCTGCCTGGACTACAGTTCCCAAAGTACAAGTTATCCTTGGAAAGGTCAGAAGGCTAGGAGGGCATCGTGAATCTAAGTAGCAGTTGGGGTGGGAGGTCAGGAAGGCTTCAGGATCTTTCTAAGGCAATCTGCCAGGCTTACAACACACAACCAAATACCCACAATACCATGACACCCCCTACAGCCAGGCTTACAACACACAACCAAATACCCACAATACCATGACACCCCCTACCACATCATAGGATTCTAAAGTAAGGGAGTCAAAGCTCAATGCTCAATTTTACTCAAATCAAGCCAATCTTGAGTGGCTCGAAGTTCAGTGACAGACTGGAAAAACTATTTGCTGACACAACTGAATACAATGAGCAGGAAGAGAGAAGAGACATCATTTCCAACATACTTACCCAGCAAAATGTTAGTGGAAGTACAAACCACAAGGTCAAGCTGGCATTTCTACTCTGCCCGATTCTCCAAACTGTGCTCCTCTGGAAATGGGAGCCATTTCTGTGCATGTAAATGAACTAGGTTTCCCCACCTGCATTACGTGAGTGGCAAACCCTAATAAATTCCACTGTGACTCTTAGGGATTCGCTGCAGCTTCCCACAGCTCAATTTGACTTCGGTACTGAGTATGCAACTCTGAACTCATCATCAGTAATCCACAGGAAAGAGCTTCACAAAAATCTATCTTAACAAACCTTAATTAAAGCAGGTCAGGCTTGGGAGGTGTATTCTCAGCCCCCAACTCTGCCCCCCGAGCAACACACACATGCCCTCACCATCAGCTGCCTGGTTCCCAAGCCTCCCACTTCAGAGTCAGATGGTGAAGTGTCACAGGCAGTGTCAATGCAAGAAATTGAGGAGTATTTTACGAGCCCTAAGGCACAACCCAGAACACCCCCCCCCCAAAAAAAAAAAAAAAAAAAAAAATCACTGGTGGAGAGGCAACCATAGCAGCAGCCAGAGGGGAGACCTGAGCCAGGGAACACTTTGGCAAGATGCGAAATCAAAGGACCACAACGTGATGCTGATGAAACGGTTACTGAGTCAAATGAAATCTCCATGTTCAGGCTCTACACATGCTGATGTGGAAGTTCCTGAAGGAAGCAGGGCAGGATTTATCACTGCCCCTTCGTATCAGGTGACAAAGTGTCTGATCCCCCATTCTCGGGGGAAAAAAAAACAGCCAGAGCAAGAGAAACCATGAATGTCACAAGTATAGAAAAATGATGGGAAAAAATTCCAACAGGTGAGAGTTTTCTTTGTGTAAATTCTAAGTGATTCCATTTTTCAGGGATTCTACAACATTTTCCAGTGTTTAGGGAATGTGGCCGACTGTGCCACACTGGCTCCTACTTGGCAACACTCACATCACCTCTGCCGGCCATGAGCGTAAGGTATCGTGGGCAGTGGCCATACAAGCCAGTGTTTACTCAAACCACAGCTCCTTTTCCTACCTTGGCTGCACATAACTGAAGCAAACAGATGAAGCAAACAGATGGAGCCTCCTATCAGCCTGGGTCCCCAAGATGAGAAGCCAAGCACACCCCTGACAGATTTGTAGCACATGGAAGAAATAAGCTTGGATGTCTCATGCCACTGAGGTATTTGTTATTGCAGCATAACCTGACCTATACTGAGAGTGAATTTTATATTTTATATTTATGATCCAAAAAAGGAACATAATAAAATCAGTTTTTAATTAAAAAAAAAAAAAAAGACTTCCTCCCAACTTAAAACCTACCTATATTTTCAGGTCAATTTGGGATCGAGTGAATGAAAGAATACCCAAATTAAAATTCCACAAAATGAAAGACTGTAGCCGTTCCCTGCACACCCCGAGGCGTGCTGATAATAAGCATGGTCTGAGTGGCAGCAATACACAGGTGCCATGCAGAGTCTTCTAAAGGCCTTCTCACACAGAGGGTCCCCACAGCACAGCTGAACAGACGAGGGCCCCTGTAGAGGGACTGGGATGCAAGTCCATGAAGTCTGACTCCCGATTCCACCCTCTTCCCCTTTGCCCCACCTGCCCCACAGCCTGAGGGCTAGTACCTGAGCCTTCCCTGGTCGGCGAGCAACATGTGCAGGTAGCGCTCCAGCGAGTGCTCGTTGAGGGCGCAGCGCAACCAGGCGCGGCCCCGGCCCACGTCGGAGGTGATGTGGCGCAGGGAGTGGAAGCGCTGCAGCTCGTGCCTGTTGAGGACCTCCTTCACGTAGTGCCAGAACACGGGCTCTGCAGAGAGGCGACAACACGTCACTCAGCCTGAGATGCTCACAACATTCAGAGCAGCAGTCCCCAGCAACTTTTTTAGATTGTGAAAGTCACTTCCTCAGCACAGAGGGGGTGGAGAATAGAGTATGTCCAAAATAAAAATGACCCCAGACACACCACCCAGAGGTTCAGTGACATCCTCAGGAATCTCCTTCCAGGCCTCCCCTCACACACACTTCACTAGTTGCACAAAATCAACACCTGTGGCAAGTAGAATTACGACCCCAAAGATATCCACATCCTAACCTCTGGAAACCATGACTGTCAACTTACGCAGCACATGGTCTTTGCAAATTGCAGTTAAATGAAGGACTTGGAAAGGGGGATCTTCCTGGATAACCCTGTGGGCCCAATAGCAGCAAGTATCTTCATGAGGAGGCAGAGAGATTTGACCCAGGAAGTGGTGATGGGATAGGGAAGCAGAGACTGGAACAATGCATCCACAGACACAGGAGGCTGGCAGCCACCAGAAGCTGGAAGAAGCAAGGCCAGCTCTGCCCTGGAGCCTCCACCAGGAGCTGGCCCTGCCATCACCTTGACCTTAACCCAGTGAAACTGATCTTGACCTTCAGGCCTCCCAACTCCAAGGGAGTAGATCTGTGTTATTTTTAAAGTCACCAATGTTAAGCCAGAACAATGGCATGTCCCTGGAGTCCCAGCTACTCAGAGGCTGAGGCAGGAGGATCGATGAAACCTAGGGGTTCAAAGCCAACCTGGGCAACACAATGAGACCTGTCTCATTTAAAAGAGAAAAAAAAAAAACTACCAACTTTGCAGTAATTTTCAATCATCAAAAATGATACATCATATTGTATGATTATACCTGCACATATGCATAATTTTCTGTCCTAGCTGGGCACAATGGTGCACACCTGTAATCACAGTGACCCTGGAGAATGAGACAGGAGGATTGAAAGTTGAAAGCCAGGCTCAGCAATATAGCAAAGGGCCTAAGCAACTTAGCAAGACACCGTCTCAAAATAAAACATAAGAAGGGCTCAATGTTTAAGCCACCTTGGGTTCAACTTCCAGTACCAATAATAATTCTGTATCCTATTTCATTTGTCTAGATCATAATCATTTTCCTGCCACCATTAAGTCTTTGAAACTTGACTTTGATGGCTTCCCAGTGAATTGCAATGTAACTATTTCTCTATTATTAAGAATATGATATGGTGCCAACTTCCCTCTCCACAGCAAAAAGCATCCTTGCACATAAATAATTGTCCCCATTTTTAGTTCCTTAAGAGAGACTTCTATATGCTCAATTACTAGGTCTGAGGATAGGAACAGATTTAAGGCTTTAAGGGAAAGGTAACGTTTGTCTTTACCCCTGGAGTAGTCATCCTTACGACTGCTGCCATTCCTCTGCCTTTCTCATCCTTGTGCGCAGGCTTTTCCTAGTTGTACTCTTCATGTATACCTCATTTATGATCTCCTCATGTATACTTCATTTATGATCAACTTTCTTAACAATCGGCTTGTCAACACTTTTTCATGCTTCCAATAGCAAGGGTGGCAACAGGTACTATTTATTCACTGAGCATCAACTATACCAGCCACCCTACCAAACACTGCCATCTGACCTCATAACCACTAAGGCCATCTCCACAAAGACAAAGTCCCAGGCCTGGACCAGTGAAGAACGTGCCTAGGGATACATAGCTCCTAGTGCTCCTTAAGCCATACCATGCCAGCTAACTGCAAACCCCCAACAGTACTTTGCCTTTTGCAACGGGGGCACTCCACCTTCTCCAAAGTGAGCATGTTCACAGCTGCCTAATCCACAGGAGGAAAAGCCGAGCCTCCGCTGCCAGCTCCAACTTCCAGCTCATGCTCAACAGCCCAGACCCCTTGGAGAACAAGTCTTCAAACTCTCCTTTTAGGATACAAATCCTTATGGACCAAGCGGCCCTTAGGGATCCTTTAGAATCAACTCCCCAAGATAACAAAACCGATGGGCAACTGGCTCGGGACAGTCCCCTCTCAATCGTCACATGTCCAACTCGCCCCCTTTCCAAACTCATCAGATCAGTCCAAACCACAATGTACAGATGGTATTTTTTCCACTCTCAGAACCCAGGACAGGGCGTGTAGGAGAGCAGTGCCCGAGGCCAGCAGTCCAATAATGTGTTTCCAAATGCTCAGCCAGCCACCTGTAATTCCATCACGCTGCGGATCAAGTGACTCTCACCTGCACTCAGACTTCCTCAAGAAATGCAATCGCCTCCCTTTGACCTTGAATGCTCAGGAACTCTTTACCGTGTGTTTTCTCCTTTCAATTTTGTAAATTACTTACTGCCACAGAACCCTTTCAAAGCTTGTCAGAGCAACACTGACTGCAGGAATCATCACAGTAGGGTTCCACTTCCACCGCCAGAATTAATGTGGTCTATTTAAAGTGCAGCTCATCTGCCATTTAAAGCAGGCTGTGTGTCCATAATTTAATTTGGGAATATGTACTGATCTGCTTTGAAATGTGGGATACATTCCAAAAGTGTGCAAGGGCTTCTGGCTCTCAGAACACCTGAAAGCCAAATGCCAACAAGAGAGCCAGGAGGTAAGGGGATAGCATGGCAAGCTTCCTGGGGTACTTGTTAATAGACAGTGATGGGCAGCACAGTCTGCCAGCTCCCAGCAGGCCTCAGCTCTCCTTGTCAATCCCTAGAGACTACAAGGAAGATAAACGCCAGGGCTCAGATTCTAACTGAGGCATTGTGTGACTTGGGTGGGTGCCTTACCTTGTCCTCTATTTTCCTCATCTGTACAATGGCCATCATAGTATCTACCTCTAAGGGCTGTTATACAGGGAAAATGAGAAAATGAGATCCAATAAATGCTGTTAGCCATAACTAACAGCCTGGTAATATAATTGGTGTTCAGTGAAAAACAGCTATTCATATTATTACCACCCTTGCAACAAAGCTGAGGCATGAAGACAAGTCAGCAGCACCCCTCCCCCTTGCTTCTGCTTACAGCACCCCTCTCTCCCAAAAGGAGCATGTGCCTTTCAGACTTTGTGGAGTTGTCTTCACTTCCACCCCTTGCTCTCTCCCCACCCCCACCCCCAGGTAGCAGCTAACCCAGGCTGGCAATTACCAGGCCACAACAGAGCACACAACTCATCTTCATCCTGACCCTACTTGATGGTTTGTTCATTGTGGCTTTTTTCACATCAACTTTAATTTTTGAAAGTATTACATGAAATATTATGTTGAATGATGAGTTTTTTGATATTTCTTAAATTTTGTGACCAAAGACCAGGTCTCACTAGTCTCACACGAGTCCGGGTCTGGACCACAGGATCCTCCACACAACGTCTACCTGGTCATCTTTCTAGGACAGAAGTCAGCAAACTGTAGTCTGGGGCCAAATTCAGCCACCACACATCTGTGTGTCGAGGTCTGGATCACAGCCACTCCCATTTGCTCACGTGTCGTCTGTGGCTGCCTTCCTGCTACAACAGCAGGAACGTGTAGCTGCGCTTGAAACCGCATGGCCCAGAGTATACAAGGTGGCTACCTGAGCCCGAAAGAGAACTCTGCTGACCCCCGTTCTAGAAGCAGAAGCCTTAATGGTCCCGCAAACCTGGACCCACATGGGGCCATTTTTCTCTTTATCATGTAGAGAGGCCCCAGTTGGAAAGACCCCCTACCCACACAGAGGCTGTGCTGAGCAAGACAGAAACAGATCTGGGGAGACCTGGGGCCCCAGAATCCAGCTCCACTCAACTCCTGGGTTTCCAAGTTACTACAGTCAAAAAGTACCTTTGGTGGAAAGGGTTTCTGTGGCTTGCAACCAGATGACGCTCAGGGTAGTGAGTAAGGGTCTGTTCTTTGACCATAACAGGATCATCTGTTGATGATGGAGGACACCGAGTAACTCCTGTCCTCCAGAGCCTGGATGGGTGCATGTCACCAGCATGAAGCATCCTCACAACAAACAAAACACCACTCAATGAGAAATAGCCCAGCCACAGCACCCAGACTCCTTGTAAATCAAGGACACCTTTTTCTCATAACTAGACCAGAAGTAGGGAGCAGGCTCATAGGCTCCATCAGGCCAAAATCTTCACTCTTGACCCGTAGCTCACTATCACAGAGGACTATCACAACTCTGAGTATCTCAGAGGGGACAGGAGAAAGCCAGCTCTACTATCCCTTTTATGAAGCAAGGATGAGTAATCCCAGAAAGCCACAGGGAGCAGAGTGGAAGAGAGAACTCCAAGACCAGCATAATCACCCACCACTCATGACCTGATGAAGGACAAGCCACGGCCCCAGCAAAGCCAGTGTTGCTTAAGCCACAGAGCAGGACGGACACGAGGTAAGAAACCAACAGGACCGGCCAAACAGGCATCCACCATTCCAGGGACAAAAGGCAAACCAAGGCTGGGGGCAGCTTGGTGGTAGAGCGCTTGCCTAGCATGTGCGAGGCCCTAGGTTGTGCCCCCAGCACTGGGCAGGGACTGGGTGAAAACAGATGTTCCCAGATCCCAGGAGAATCCCAATCTGGACAAGCCCCACCGCAAGGCAAGTGGATCTGTGAAGCAGTTTCCAACAAGGGGCTGTTGCCTTGTCACTAAACACCTTCCAATAGCCACCAGACTGCCTCCCCAAACTAGAGCACAGGGACTGTGGATTAAATATGAACCACATATAATGTAAGCAATGGCTTTATTAAAGGGCAGGGGACTTGCCGAGTAGCAAAGCAAGGCTTCTAAAACTCACATCTTGCTACTCGTTAGGGGCAGACCCCACCCCAGGCCCAAAAGCCATTTCCATTCTGACAGAAGCAAAGACAAGGACCTATGGGACTTACGAGCTGGGTAAATACAGCTTGGAGACTGACAACCAATGTCAATCTGAGTCTTCATTTATGACACATCAAGACTAAACACCTGTGAAATAGCCCGAAGTGACACTAGCCCAAGAGACAGCAGTCCAACCACAGCAGACCTT